GCGATAAGGGCCCCCCGTCGTCTCGCGGTCGCGGAGGGGCGGGACGGGGGGAGCCGAGATCATGCGCGCGCGTGCGCGCGCGCGCGCTATCGCCAGACGTCTTGTTTGCGATACGTCTGACTGCACCAATATGCGGCCGCGCGTAAAACATAGCGAGGAATAAACACCGACCGCGTGCTTTTTTTTTAAGTGTTTCATAACTTTTTATAACAGGTATTTTCAAGTGTTATGTCACCGATACGCCAAAGCGCATACGATATATTATATATTATTATTTGGCGCGCCGGTGATAATCCGTCTTGTGGAGCGTTATCTTAATATAATTAAAGTATAAATTCATGAAATTTGTAGAATCTAAGCTTTAATTATATCTCAAGGTAACAACTCACGATATGCTAAGAATAAAAATTTGTACTTTGCTACTTCGTTATTTTATCTTCCTCCTCCTTGTCTTGTTTTCTTATCTCCATACCTATCTGCATTGAAAAGGGGCTCAGATACGTGAATCTTTCTTGAACGATGTCCCAGTAAATAATAATAATATTATTATTATATTATTATTATTTACTGGGACATCGTTCAAGAAAGAATAATAATAATATTAATATTATAATTTTATGCTCAATAATTTGTTACATATAAAATGTTTTTATTTTTATATGTGTTTATACATATTATATCACATTTGAATTGTTGAGTATGTAAGAAATTTTAATGATGTCATTATTAGTTAATGTTTACCGCAGTTATATATCGGAGTTGCTTAAGTCGATCAAACTCCACTAACTCGACTTGAATTACTGGAATTAATGTGCGAGGTCAAGACATTGATTTTTTTTAATGCTCTTTATATACATATATGAACAGAAATTAATATATCTTTGGAACTAGAAAGAAACGAAAAAAAAGATAAATAAACAGAAATATCAGTTAATAGTTTAAGTTTAGAATTCATTGATATATTACAAAAAGAATCGACAAAGGGTTGCCACAGAAAGTTTAGAGAGTTCGAAAGATAAACGATTTGAGGAAACTGAAATAATTAATCTTAACTGAAATAATAATGTCCTAACAAAATATCAGTTAAAATGTGTGTTTTGACAGCGGAAAATCAGAAAAATTTGTTTATAATTCTGATTTTGACTTTTACTACAGTATTCATAATTTTGCTTCCTGTTGAATAAGAATTTCTTTATCTGTAAGTATATTTATATAGGTCCTGATTATATTTAGCCAGATGCACTGCTTTTCAATAGTTTATTGCAGCTGTATTTTTTTTATTTAAAATGAAAAGGACGAATAATATAGAATAATAAGTATAGATAAAGAAAAAAGAAGTACCAAAAAAATCACAAAAAATTGGCCTATAAGAAATACATTTATCCTGATATTGTAAAAGTTACCTAGAAGCGTAATGGGTATTTAAATTTTAAATTGATAAAATATTCAATAAACGTTTTGCCGAAATCGTAATATTAAACATCGCATATTTTATCATTGTCAAGATGTTTACATTATGTTTTCATCATTAAATAACTTTGTGCATAGCCTTTGACATGTGCACTAACGTGAGACAAGAAATTTTTGTTCATCGAAGAATGACTTGAATGTTTTGATTTTATTTAATCTAATTCTAATATTTACCTAATTTTGAATTTATGTGAACTATCTATGTATATATTCAAAGTCTATACAAAGTTGCAATGCTAAATTATCACAAAATGCGACTAATACGTATATAATAATAATATTTTTTTTTAAAAAAAGGAACACGACATCGATTATATGGAATATATAATGTGATTCGGATTTCCTATATTTTAAAATACTAAACTCACATATAGCGCTCAATCATAGTGAAACGTGGACAATAATAAAAAATAAGCAGACGAAGAAACAATTTGCATCATGATACCGATATTTTACATATTACGTGGATCCACATTCCGTATCGTCTAGTGCGTCCTCGAAGCTTCTATCAGAAACTGCAAACTCGTAATGTATATTTTACTGGTAAACACCCGATAATGGAAGAGGCATGTGTGAAGAAAAAAAAAAAGAACAGCATATACGTTATCAATCATCACGTCGTGCGTATTTCGGCGAGGTTCGAACTGACTGAGAGACGACTTCTTTTTTTCTATTTTCGTGCTCCCCCTTTTACTCATAATAATAAATTACTTGCTTTGCCGCCGATGTATTTACGACACCGCGTTCATTCGCAATATGGTACATTGTACTTGCCTCGTTCGAAAAGTCTCGTTCACGTGTCAATTACTATCGCGCACTACGGCAAGAGAAGGGGCAATTGAGGTCCGCGAGATAAAGAGAGCCCCGCACCCTACTGTCCCATCATCTTAATGTCGATGTTGAACTTATAAGTTACACGCGCACACCCCGATAAAAAAGAAAAGCGAGCGAGCGAGCGAGCGCGCGCGCGCGCGAGAGACAGAGAGAGAGAGAGAGAGAGAGAGAGAGAGAGAGAGAGAGAGAGAGAGAGAGAGAGAGAGAGGGAGGGAGGGGGGAGTTTTGAGGGGTCAATGTATCACTTTCCGACAATTACCACGATGTCGAGTATTAAGTAATTAACATACAATTCGCGATGTATTCCGGATTATTTTGAGGTCTCACGAGATATAGTGAGTGGAGGAAAAGTGTGATTGTATGACCACACAGCTCGTATGATCATACATCTCGTTCGTTTGAGCTGAACAACATGTGCGTGATTTTTTTTCCGCGATTGAGACCGCGCACTCAGGCTTGGGAAATAAAACAGAAATGTAACTGATGTAGTTAATGAATTGGAAAAATAAAATACAAAAGAAAAGAAAACAGTCGACGTTACCGAATACAATCGGACTGCAATCGAAAATATTGTAATTAACAGACTTGCCAATAATTTTCCTGTTTTCATTATAAGCGGTGTTTTTCATCATAAGCGAAAGCTGGAAATCGAAATATTGGGAATAATTTCGATGAAGATTTCTATTTCTCGAGATTACGATCTGTCGTGGACGCAGGAAAGTCTCGATTTGTTTGTGATTCTGACAAAATTATTAAAATTATTCTCTAAATTATTCTCGGCTAATAATATTATTTGCCACTTTGGACGAATTATAATTCATATCGAAATTCATTCAGGATAAAATAGTCTATTTCTATCATAACGCACGCATACAAATATACGAGTCCGTATATTTTGATATACGTATGCATTATGATATTCTGATTAATCAAATATTTTTTTTAAACTAGCACGATACGACAATGTGCAAATAGAATTCTATTTCGTATTTCTTTTATCGAAAATGCGCATTTAGCATACAATTTATGTTACATAACTGTAGAATGTCAGAAATAAACGCATTTATAAATGATAAAAATGAAGTATGAATACGAACATACAGAATTGAAAGTAGAATTTTATTTTGAGATCTGATGTAAATTATTAATCTTAATAATCAAGCTTTAGACGGTACATGTGCTAATCACATGTAACCGACATGGAAACCGATCCGTTTCATTTGTGGCCACGTGGACACAACGAGAGAATGTTAAGAAATCGATACCAAACCCAATTAATTCAATTCTCCTTTTTTTTTAGTTTGTCGCATGCGACATCCGGTTACGCGAGAATCATTATCATTATTACTATCTGTATTATTCATAGACTTTATAAAGCATAAAAAGACAATTTTATTGAATAGTTAATAGTTAATAGTGAATATTTGATGATTAATGGTTGAAGCTTACTGAATGAAACTGATACTATAAAAATAGAATAATTTTAATTTAAAATTAATTCTTTAAAACATAAATTAGATAATAATGTATCTATAGAAATATTTTCTTGTAAAGGATTTCTAATTTCTTTATTATTAATTTCCAAGTCTTTACGAGAATCATTGCTAAAGCAAATGAGTTCTGCAAATGAGTTTTGCAATTAGAGATAACGCTCCTCTCGTTACAGCACTATTTTAAAAAAAATTCGTGCATATGTTATTTATGGTGCGAACGATCAAAAGATCCAAGTCGAAGACGTCTTGTCACTTATCTAAAAAAAAAGAGAAGAAAAAAACAGAAGGCTTCGCAAGCATGAGTCTTAAAGTTATTAACAAAGTTATACCCGGTTTGTTCCGGTTGGCACCGACGCGTACACAGGTACCAACTCCGGAATGCGCCGCGTCCCGTCGGCGGAAGTGTGATCGCGGAGAACGTGTCTCTTCCGAGTTCGTCGCGGAGGAGACGTGTTTCTCTCTCTCTCTGTCTCTTTCTCTCTCTTCCGAGTTCGTCGTGATCGAGGGACCGAGGACGATGCGCGCGGCGATACGTCCGACGAGCATCGGATTCCGGTGGGGTGTGCTTGCGGGTCAGAGTCCTCGGCACGTTGACCATCGCCGAGATCTGCGTGCGGCACGCTGGGTCACGTCCACGGCTGCGTCTGTGAGGATCTACGACGACATGTGCATGACGACCGAGAATTGCCGTTCCATCCAATGGAACTTCCGTGTGACGCTCGCAACGCTCTCGAAATCACTTTCGTCTTGCTCTCCAAATGTCACAGACGAGAACAGACGATGATGATCGCGAGCGTCGCGAGCTGGAACTCGTGCGGTCGAGGTGCATGAGGTGACGTATCGGACACGTCATTCACCTCCTCGCGCGTCACCGACGATCACGTGAACCCGACTGGCTTTCTCTTTTTTTTTTTTTTTGATTTCCTTCGTGTCACAACCTCCTCGCGGCACGATAAATAGGTGTAAATTCGCGCCGACACCAAAACACCGATAACAGAATGGGATTAATAGAACTTACGTTGTCATTGTTGTCACTTCGATTTTTACGTGTTTTGCGCAAAATCCGGAGATCGCGGATCGTCGTTTCGTACGCTCTCATCGGCGAACCTCGTTCGGGAGCGTGACGTCGAGCGCGAGGACCGAAGCGAGTCAGTCCGCGTCACGTGATTCCGTGTTTGCTCCGCGGTGACAATTGGGAGGTACGAAAGAGGAGGCCTCACACGTGCGCGAGTATTGTCGGATTTCTCTGTGCATTTAGGCGGTGATCTATCGTACACGGAAGAACACAGGTCAATCGAAGATCATGACGAGGATACAATATCCCGAGGCGCGCAGGGACGAGAGCGTCGTCGATGATTATCATGGCGTTGAGGTTAGGCTGCATCCTGTAAAGTGTTTCTCATCTTTGACTTCTTTTTAGCTGAACTTGCACCGTTCATTTTTCTTCTTTTTCTCTTCACACTAGGAAGAAAGGGAGAAAAAATAAACGGTGCCAAAAGTTTGAACTAAAAAAAAAAACAAAACAAAAACAAAAAAAACAAGCTTTTGATGGACATCCATTAGTTTTAAAAGATTGTTTCATTCTTAATTCAAATGATATATTCAATGTTTCGTTTTAATAACAATAAGTTTAAGCTCTATATTCAATTGTGTTCTTTTTTTCATGTAGACAAAACAAGTAGAATAATCTACAAATTTTTTTTATCCTTTTGACAATGTTTTGATGTACGATAAAATGTCCGGAATTGAATTTATTGTTTTAAGTAGGTCTCTTCAATAAATAAGCTTTCTTTAAAATTTGAAGCCAATTTTAGCAATATTTTAATGAATACGATTCATTTATCAAATAATTTATGAAAGAAGGCAAATATTGCACAAGTCGGATATTGAATTTAACATTGAATATATAATATTTCAGGCATTTCTTACGCAGTTATGCTTTTGCTGTAATTATTTTCTAGAAAAAAGAATTTTTTAATAATATTTAAAATAATATTTGAAATACTTTTGTATTGTGAAATATGTGGATGGAAAGCTAGACGGAGATGATAATGTTCGTAAAGTTTGATTACTCAAAATGCCTTTTTATTTTATATTATGATACACATCTGTTCGTGTCCGTCGATCGAATCTCTCGTCCGTTCATTATTTATCAGCTCTATACTTTTCTCCTTAAAAACAAATAAATTTAATTAATTTCAAATAACTTAATTTTCAATAACAGTGTCGAAGAAGAACCTATTTGTTGTTATTGTTTGTCTCTTGTCTCAAATCGTTGAGCGTTCAAATTGTTACAAAGAAAATAACATTATAATATTACAAAGAAAATATAATCATGAGATATAATATATGAAGATATAGGGAATATAGAAATAATGCAAAAAGAAATTATTAGAACATAGAAATTACATAAGTTTATTCTGTTGACCTGATTCGGATATCAATGCATACAACGATATAATCGCCACAATACATTATATAAAGGCTCGATATTCTATTTGTAGATAAAAGATCCATACAGATGGTTGGAAGATCCAGATTCGGCAGAAACGAAAGCTTTTGTTGATGCCCAGAATGCCATCACTAAACCATATCTGGCTGCATGTAAAGCGCATGACAATATTCATGAGCGTTTGAAACAATTGTGGGATTTTCCAAAATACTCATGCCCTGCCAAACATGGCAGAAAATATTACTTTTATAAAAATACTGGTTTGCAAAATCAAAGGTATAATATAAATTTTTGATATATATTACATATTAACTGTATAGATCAAAAAGTTTCGAATTATTTGATCTTATTTTTTTAGTGTCTTATATGTACAAGATACTCTTGAAAGTGAGCCGAGGGTGTTTCTTGATCCAAATACTCTTTCCGAAGATGGAACCGTCGCAATTACTAGTAGTAGTTTTAGTGAGGATGGTAGCATCTTTGCATATGGATTATCTAAAAGTGGCTCTGACTGGAGTACTATTCATTTTCTGAATGCACATACTGGTAAATTGATGCTAAAGTATTTAAACTTTCTTATAATTTTATATTTCGATACAATATAGGTACACGTTTGTCAAAAGTACTTAAGGTATACATTATGCTTATATAAAGGTGAAAAATATCCAGAAATTCTGGAGAAGGTAAAATTTTCGCCAATTACATGGACCCACGACAATCGTGGTATTTTTTATGGACAATATCGAGATCAGCAAGGGAAGACCGATGGTTCGGAAACATTAGGTAATGAAAATCAAAAGTTATGCTACCACATTGTTGGTACATCACAATCGGATGATGTCGTCGCGGTTGAGTTTCCTGAGGAACCATTGTGGAGGATGTAAGTTTTTTATAATTTAAGTCTTTAGATCTTTTTATAGATAATATTTGTTATAGAGTCGACATTATTTAGGAAATTGAATTAAAATACATGTATATTATAGTCATATTCTTAAAATAATAAATAAAGAATCTAAATTTTACTTCTATACATGTTTATATTTAATGTATAAATATAAAAGAACTGATCTAGTTGAATTTATTTTATCAGAGGTGCAGAAGTGTCTGATTGCGGCAATTGGCTAATTGTCACTCCTCTGAAGGACTGCAGAGATAATTTAGTATATTTTACACCATTAAAAAATGGAATGGAAATCAAGAATAACCTACCACTGACACAAGTTGTTGATAAATTGGAAGCAGATTATGAAGTTTGTAATAGATATTTTGCTTTTTCTTAAATGTTTCTATTATAATTATATTTCATGTATTTTTTCAGTACGTGACTAATATTGGCAGCAAAGCTGTGTTCCGTACAAATAAGAATGCACCTAATTACAAGTTGATAGCTATAGATTTGTTAGATTATCAGCAAGAAAAATGGGTTGATCTTTTACCAGAACATCCTGAGAATGTACTGGATTGGGCTAATGCTGTAGATGGAGATAAATTTGTTGCTTGTTACATACAGGATGTTAAGGTAAATATATACACAGAATATTTAGATTAATGATTATAATGAGATAAAACATATAATGATCTAGTCATCATTCTATAGAACATTTTGCAACTCCATTGCTTGAATACTGGTAATATGCTTAGAACATTTTCTCTTGATCTTGGCACTGTTATCGGATTCTCAGGGGAAAAAAAATATTCTGAAATATTTTATCAGTTTACCTCATTCTTAACTCCGGGCATTATATATACAATTGATTTGAAAAACGAAGAGGAGCCACGAGTAAGTATCTGTCTTTTCAAATATTATAAGTAAAATTTCTTATACATGTAATATTATTTTATTAAGTATAATTACAGAATAATTAACGATTGATATTATTTTCAGATCTTGCGAGAAATCAAAGTAAAAGGTTTTGATGCGAGTTTGTACAAGACTAGTCAAATATTTTATAAAAGCAAAGATGGTACAAAAATTCCCATGTTTATAGTAACAAAAAATGTACGTTTTTAAAAATCAATAATAAAATATATTTTATTATTAACATAAACTGTAAATTTTTGATGTACAACGATTTAAAAATTTTTTACAACGAGCAAAAAATTCTATATTTTGCTTTTCGTTAATGTTTGAATTAAAATTATATATAAATATCAATTGTATCAATAAAATCATTGGAAAATTTTTAATTTAGAATGCTGTATTAGACGGAACTATGCCAGGCTTACTTTATGGATATGGTGGTTTCAATGCAAGTATTCAACCTACATTTAGTGTGACAAGACTTGTCTTTATACAACATTTCAATGGAGTTCTTGCTGTTGCTAATGTTCGCGGAGGAGGGTATGTAAAGCCGATACAAATAAAATATTTATAAAATTATTTGTATTTATCTTGTATTAAAAACTGTTTTCTCTTTTTGAAAATTCTTTTTTTGTAGTGAATATGGAGAGAGATGGCATAATGCAGGACGCTTTTTTAATAGACAAAATGTATTTGATGATTTTCAATACGCGGCTAAATATCTTGTAGAAAACGGGTATACTACCTCTGCGAAATTAACAATTCAAGGTGCCAGTAATGGCGGTCTGGCTGTTGCTGTATGTATAAATCAAAGACCTGATCTATTTGGTGCTGCTATAGCTCAAGTTGGGTTAGTGAATGTATTTTTAATAATTATTGATATGTGTAATATATATGAAATATATGTTTATCCTTTTTAAAATTAAATTTTAGAGTTATGGATATGTTACGCTTTCATAAGTTTACCATCGGTTCTGCTTGGGTCTCAGATTATGGCAGTTCCGATGATCCCAAGCATTTCGAGAACTTATTAAAATATTCACCACTACATAATGTGAGAGTACCACCAGATGACATACAATATCCGGCAACGTTGCTTCTAACTGCTGATCACGATGACCGCGTCGTGCCATTGCATACTCTTAAATTAACAGCGACTCTTCAACATGTTCTTGGAAATATACCAAAACAGAAAAATCCTTTACTTGCAAAAATAGATACTAAGGCAGGCCATGGCGGTGGAAAACCGACTATGAAAGTGGTAAGTATTTTTGTAATCTAGAAAACAGCTTTTATATATAATTAAAACACACCGAGCTTTTATTTAAAAAGTATCAGACATAATGAAAAGTATATTTTAGATTGAAGAAAGTACCGACGTCTTATCGTTTATTGCGCAATCTTTGGACTTGGAATTTAAAGTGTAATAACTACTCAAATAAAAACAAAAATATTCAGAAAAAAATGTAACTCAACATATTTTACAGAAATCTTCAAAATCAAAGAGTTGTAATATGTAATATGTCACTAAATGCGCTTATGAAATTATGTATATTGCAACGTATTTCTGTAAAATCACTAAACATGCTTTAAAATTCTCTTTTATAATAATGTGTGATTTTTATTATGAAATAAATATCAGTGAATTTGTACTTTATGATATAGTGTTTATATAACATTTCTCTCATTCGAAATAAATGTATAATGGAGTGTAAAACTACATCGCATAATCGAGTATAAAAGAGATTGATTGAAGTATCAATTGCAGAGCTAACAGAGCTGTATTAATATGTGCAAAAATATCTGTATATTAATTTGTTATACGACAAGAAAATAAGTATCAAAAAAATTTTTTTCGAAAAAAGACCAAGAATTATATTCATTATATTTAATATTCATCGGCGTATCATTAATATTTCGATGTTGCAATTCGAGAATTAGCACAAGTCTTTTGCAATATTTGTACTGAGATAAATGTCCTTGATATAGTTACGACCATAAATTCAATCGGACGATAACGATGTACAACTCGCCGAGTGGCGAATGAATCACTTCTAAATTGATGAGTAAATTCCTCAATTATGCTTATATGAGTGTTAATATCATAAATCAACGATTCCCCTCTCCAAAAATATGTCAGCAAGTAAAGAACATATCGAACATATCAAAATTATATTATTTTTATGTAACATTGTGTTATAAATGCATTACATTTTGAATGATAATTGATCGTTTTCATTACTGTTTTTAAATAAAACAACAAATATATTTTTTCAATTGTTTTCAATTGTTCGAAAAATTCGATGTAGATGCAGAGTAAAATTGTTATTTTCGTATACAAATTGTAATAATAAATAAAACAGTTATAAATTTATAATATTTTAACATGAGAATAACATAACTTTTCAACTGTTGATTATAATAAAGATATAACGTATATTAATAAGAAAAAATTTTGATTAGTAGAATACGCGTGTGGTCCTGGAAAAGTTATAATTTTTATTACTATGGATATAACAAGGAAAATTAAACTGTGCATTAAACGTTGTCACAATTAACAAAATCTTTTTCTTACTTTATAAGTGTGAAGTCTAATACTTCATAAAATGTTATATTACAGAACTTGGAATTAATTGGCCTTTTAAGCCAATAAAGTACAATTCCAAGTTTTGCGTTACAACGTAATATAAAAATGATACGGAGTTCATCATGCTAGATTAAATTTGATCACACTTCAGCTTGTCAAAAAAATTAAAAAGATAAACGATATCGTGGGACATATCTGCCGACGCCAGACGGTCGAAGTTGGCGATCGATAATTGCGTCAAACGTCCCGTTAGTCAAAATTGCTAGTGAACATCGCCGTGAAATATTGCGAAAAGAATTTTCCCATGTATTGCTCTTCTCTGACCGGCCACACGCCTTCGAGGAAACCAATGTGTCCACCGCGCGATGTTACCACTACCGCCACGTTTTTGGTCTGGCTTATCTCCTTCAGAGGTATCGCTAAAAAAAAGTTCACGTTGTTGTAAATAAAATCATACAGAGGCATTATGATATCGTTATCACGCACTCTGCTCACCCTGCAACGGTTGAAATGGATCGTCTGCCGCGCTGAGACACAGAGTCGGAACTTGGATCAGGTGCAGCTTGCTGTGGAGCGTCGCGTCGTTGTAATAATCGTCGACATTTTTGTATCCAAAGTGCCTTACCGTAAAATTTGAATCGAATTCTCTTATTGTTTGGCTCTGTCGAACAATGATAATTCACAATAATTCATAAATGAGTCAAATTCATATGTCAGACAGGTAGTAGTAGTATCAAATCGTGCGTCACAAATAAACAACGAATTAAAGTCTAATCTAATCTTGATCAAGATTTCTACAAACCTTATTATCTGAAGGTAGATTAAGCTATATTCTTTTGCAAAATCATCATTTTGTAACAAAAGCGAAAGAGCGAAAAGCAAGAGAAAAAAATAATGAGATTACACGTACAAACTATTTTTAATAAAAGGAATTGTAGAAAAATATATTTTATTAAATTTTATCTTATGCCAAATATAATAAATGTCTATCGCAAAAGTTTTGATATTGCTCATTTACGTTTTTTGAGAAAAGTGTACCTTAAGGACAGAATCGATGTCCAAAGAGCCAAAGATATCAGAACTATGATATCGTTCTATCGTGCGACACATATTACTAGCTAAATGTTTATTCAACATTAGATTAAAATAATTTTCCTCGCTATTCTTTGTTGCGGCGAATACGTTCCATGGCACCGAGATAATGAGACACGCTCTTAATTTGGTCTTTGCTGTTAAGCCTTTTTGAGCTAGATAATTACCTAAGATCAACCTGCGCATAATAAAAACAATATATATTAATTATAAAAATATATGTTTATAAAAATATTATTAATTTATTAATCTACAATCCAATGTTCGATTATACATATATCATTCCTAGACACTACGTAGAGATATCTTTATATGATTAAATTTTTAATTTAGAGATTTAAATTAAAAGAAAATATTGTTACCCTCCCATAGAGATCCCGGTTGCTCCGAGAGTTACATGGGGATGAAGTTTTCTCACGTGCTCTATGACTTCACTTAAATCATCATAGTTGGCGGCACAATATGTTCGCGGAGTCTAGATAAAAGAACTTTTTGTTAATAAAAAAAGATAATCTTCGATTATAGAGAAGCCGTTATAATAAAAAAATAAATAATGTATCTCTCTAAGAGATTAAAAGATTTTTTTTAATCTCGCTGCAAAAGCTACCGTTTTCACGGATAAGCCTACCTTGAGTTCTAATCCGCCTAAGCCTCTATTGTTAAAAATCATGCATCGTATCCCAATTTTTCTCGCGGCTGATACCAAACACTTGATATATTCTGCTTGACTACCACCCGTAAGGCCAGGTAAAATGATGACGATCGGCGACGTGACGGAGCAATCTTTCTCAGCCCAATCCAAGGCCACTTCACCCCCATCGGACAGAGTGAGAATTTCTCTGCGTGATATAAGAAAAACGTTAAAGAATAAAGTTTGATCGATCACGCGCGCTACTTATTTTTCAAATTAAAGTCCGGTATGCTCGACGAACAACAATGTACTTTTATCTCCCAAGGACTCTCTTCACTCACCTGCGATATTCGACGTCGGGCAATATCCGTGATCTCAAGACACTGGCTAAAATGGTCTGTGCTCGTGATTCGAAACACCATAATGTCGGCCAGAATTTATTTTGCACAAGCGGAATGTTTGCTTCCAAAAACGAGCGGAATGGTCCATTGGCGCAAACCAGCAAGGGTGTCTGAAATATTAATAATTGTTTTTGTCCACGCGGTGTGACATATATATTATAATATGATAAGTACAAAGAAAAAAAAGTTTAGTTCTCTCTAGTCGATCATAAACGAATGTTTTAGACCAGCTAATAGACTTGCAATTAGTATTGCAATTAGCATTTGCCAATGGCAAGATATATAGTAAGTAATTTTGAGTTGAAAATATATTAAACATATTGAAATTACAATAGTTTTTAAATGGAAATCTAAAATTAGTCAATTAGATTGCTCAAAAATTCCCATATTCAGATACATTATATGGAAATGAAGGTCATCTTTCTTTTTTAAGGTCGAATAAATTTATATTATATTTGTATTAATACATAATTGTTATATTAATGAATTATTATGTGTGTCCTTGTAATACAATTATATTACAATCAATTATCATTTATACATAGTTAATTTCTTTAATATATAAAAAGGATGCAATTAATAAGAATTTCAATGAGTCACATAAATGAATTTGTATGATCCATATATAATATATAATATATATATATATGTACATGTACATATATATATGTACATATTTATAAATATAGAATATACAACATATAATTAGTTATCCATTCTATTACTTACATCTTTTGCGCTAATAAATATTTTAAACTTTAAGTTTTAATATAATTTTTGTTATTATTATAACTAATTAAAAAAATTATACTAAAAAGTTAATCTAAAAATTATATTAAAAGTTAATAAATCTATTGCTTGAAACTATAAATTATTTTTATAAATATATAGAATATATAGAAATATAAAAATATATAGAATATGCTTTTATTTCAAAATAAATATTTTTATTTCTATTTTATCTTAATTTGTTTCATGCTTTTACTTACACAATTTATATAATTTATCAAATATACATTTTTGTAAAAAAGTAGATAATTAGTTTACTTATTACATTCCAATAATCAAGTTTCTTCATTACAGATCAATTTAGCTATTACAATACAATATTATGATCTATGATATTGAATTATCATTATATTTTCATTAAATGCAAATTTGATTTCATTGGAAATTGATTTAAAAAATTTACTAAGATCATAAAAATTATTTCAAGTTTAATTTTTGTTATTCGGAAAAATTAGTAAAGCGAGAAATTATCGAAAAAAATCATGTAAGTAACCTTTATCTTTGCTCTTTCAACATGGTAATCTTTCAAATGGATATCTCTTTATATTGCATGAAAGAATAAGAAAATAAGATTCAAAAGTGTGCTAAGTAAAACAGAAAAAATGATCAGTGACGGAAGAAATGATCAATTCTGTGAATATTGATGCCTATCGAAAATATTTCAAGAATATTATTAAAAAACACTTTACTTGCAAATTATCGAACTTGCAACTGATTACGATAAAGAAACCTAATGTTTAGGTAATAATTTCGTTTTTATCTTTTTTTCTTTCGTTTTTTATAGTTTAAGAAATATTCTTTAAAAAATTTTCACGATATTATGTACATAATAACTGTATATATTAAATATAATATCGCAATATAGATCAAGTTTTTAACTATTTATTTTGCAAATCATTAAAAAATGTTTAATAACTACTTGCATTTATATGAAAAACTAGTTTTATATTTGTATATTTGTATATTTTTATATTATAATTTTTATATTATAGTTAATTTTTATATTTGTATAAATTGTATCGTAATCATTGTTTATATCGTGCTGATGTCAAATCTAAGAATTATTATTATTATTTAATGCTATGACTTAATACATTCAGCTCAATTTTTAAAATATTTTATATATTTAAGTATACAACATAATCGATTTTTAAGTTTCATATCACAAAATTAACAATGAATCCAAAGTTGACGAAAAAAAATTAATATCTCTTTTATACAAATTATTGTTCAATAATAATGTTTAAAAGTAATATAATAGAATTATTTATAATATTACTTTCATTATATAATTTCTTAATTTCTTAAAGAAATTTTTATAGTAAAAAAAATGATCTCTTATTGAGTAATTACATCTAACTAACTTGTAAACAATCTTCATGTGGCGTTTTTCATTTCGTACACAATAATAATAATTTCTTAACACTTTCCAGTGCATTAATAAAAAAAAAGGTCAGTACTGTTTAAAGAGAAACCTATTGTCATTAGTGCACGTCACGTTAATATAATTATGTATAGCGTAACGTACGTAATCTACGATTCGATTTCCTTCAGTTAGTTTTTTTCACATTTGTTACTTCACCTGCGTGCGCATTACGTGTGCAGAGCAAATGCCTAGAGTTTTAAGGTCAGATTAATAAATGACACATCTCTCCTCGTGACTGATCCCGCCTATGGAGGGTCATACGTCAGTTCGAACGTGCACCGCGGAAATCCTGTCTATGTATCGAATTCTCGTGTCGTGTTCTACATAAAAGTTGAGACGGCAGAAGATAAATGAAGATAATGGAAATGATATACAAGTTGTTCCCATTGCGCAAAGTTTAGCTCTCGCACAAACTACGTTTTACTAATGATTTTTCTATTAATACGACATTCTATACGTCATCTTAGAAATAAATTATATATGTCATCACGCAGTTATTTTTTCGAAATTATAATCGAAAATTATAACTTTAAGAATATTTTTAAAAGGGCGGAGAGCCAATATAAAGTTTGTTCTTCCAAAATTTTTGGGGACT